GCACGGAATTTGTTGTGCTGACTTGATATCATTTACATAAACGATCCCACATATCTTTATTTGGTCCACCCTTTCCCACCTTTCAGCTACCATTCCTTCCTCACGCAACCCTTTTCCAAGATTCATATACTTTGTTTTCCCCATGTTGATCGTCATGCCAGTAGCCTTTTCAAAAAACTTTCACTAACTTTTCTACCCGAATCAAATCCATGTTTTCTCTCACCAAAATCGTCGTATCGTCGACATATCCAACAATGCCCGCTCCCCCACCCCTTACATTACCCATCCCATTTGCTTCCAATAAAACCCTTATCCCTCTATAAAAGGGATCTTGAAAACAAGCAAAAAAAAATTGTGAAAGGGGACAACCTTGACGCAAACCCCTTCCCATCTGAATTCGATCTCCCAACCTCCCATTCACCTGCACACGCAAAGTTGCCTCCTGATACATTAATTTGGCCCATGATATAATTTCTGCCCCAAACCCCTGCCATCTCATGATCTTCCATAACGTCTCCCGTTCCACACTATCATATGCCGCCTCCCAATCTATAGCCAATACCCCCCCTCCCAATCTTACTCTTTCTTCAATAAAACTTCTAATCATACCGTGACCTTCATACATAGACCTGCCCGGCACCCCATATTGTCCCTTGTCAATCACTTTGCCCAGGACTTTTTTATTCTGTTAGCCAAGATCCTTCCAAAAATTTTATAGTCCCCACATAATAACGAGATTGCACGATAATCTTTAACCGTTAATGGCTCGCCTTTAGGAACTAGGACGACCACAGCCAACCTTTGTTGTTCCCCTAAAACCCCATCCCGCTTCATGATATTGAATAAACGTACCAGAAACCCCTTTAAAACGTTCCAATTTTGAAGATAAAAGTCGCTGGGCAACCCATCTATTCCTGGCGCCTTACCCAATTGCGCCCCAGATAAAGCCTCCCAAGTCTCACACTCCGTTATCGGCCCTCCCAACATCAAACGATCATGCTCCTCCAGCTCACAACGCACAAACCTACCGATTGACTGCAATGCAATTTCACTTATTCCAACACTGCGTTTTCATTTTAATCCAAGCATCAATATACCCACTCATACCCTCCATCGTCGTCAACACCTGATTCACTCTATACCCCTGCATACCTACCTGAACATTCAACCCCATTAACTCCATTGCTTTGCGACGTCTGTGTTGATTCCTCAACACACACGCCGACGGCCAATCTCCCCACAAAACCTCTTCGATTCCACCCTTAAGCCTTTCCCCATCAAACCTTTTGTTTTGTAAATTTCGTAGTTGCTCCTTAATTCGTTCAATTTCTGTAACAGGATAATTAGCATTCGCTTGTACATAGCAGTCGCGCAACTGCCCCTCTAAATATCGTTGAAAACCACACTGTAACTGATTATATCTCACTCCCTGACTAATATAATATTCCTTAATTCGCTTTTTGGCTATCCTTTCCCACCAATTAATCAAAGCCACATCTCCAGGTGCTTCAACCACAAGGCGTTCCCACATATGCCCAAAAGACAAACGACTTTCCTCTCTCTTCAATAACTTTACATTTAATTTCCAAAATGACGGACCCCTTCTAGGCACACCCGCAATATCTACATCCATTACCACTCCTCTATGATCCGAAAAAAACACATTTATCACACTCACTCTCCGCACTGTAACCTCACTAGACACGTACATTCTATCCAATCTCGCCGCATAATCTCGTCTAATGAAAGTATGCTCCACCATGCCACCCCCCCCACACACATCCATTAAACCCACACTCGTCAATAAATCTCCCAAGAACCCCAAGCAACAACCCGCTCCTCGAGGCTCCACGTCTTTTCGTCGTATTACACAATTCCAGTCTCCCCCTATTATCGCTACATTTGGTAAACTACGTAGATAATATACTAATACATCTTGTACAAAATGAGTTTTAAGTCGTACATCTCCCTCAGCCGGCCCATATACACCTACAAAACTTATGTTTACTCTACCCCATAAACCATCCACCCTAATCACTCTCCCCTCCCCCCCTTTCACTATGGCGTACTACAAACGGGCTATTTTCCTTTACCAGAATGGCGATGCCTCCCTTTAACCTCGTCGCATATTCCATATACACATCGTAACCGTCCATTTCTAACTCATATCCAATTCTGTAATTGTGTTCCTGGATAAATACCACATCCACATCTAGACGCACCAAAAATTCATTAAACCACTTTCGCTTCCGCTCAGATCTCAAACCGTTAATATTTATTGTCAAAACCTTAAAGTCAATTAATGGGATTTTCCTTTCGTTCTAGGTATAGACTTTTCACTTATACATTTTACAACACCTCTATCCCTCTCCCCTTTTTTGGGAATCACCTTGATAAACTCTTGTTTCGTGGATTCACTGTTCCCTTTCCTCTGTACATCCGTCCAAGACTTTTTCCCTGGTCTTTGGGCAGGAGTAAGCACGTCGTCTGAGTCTGATGGGGTCGCAGTTCGCTTTCGCGTCCTACCCTCCACCTGCATTGGGATTTCTTTAGTACTATCATGATGCACCTCCACTTCTGCTATATTCACCATCATACCATGCGACACACCAGACTCAATGCTTTCATCCGTCGCCTCACCATGATGCTCAACCGATCCCAAAATTGCACCTGGATCCTCCACACGGTTGACGATCGACTCGTCTAACAAAACATCCAGCGCCTTCACTAAAGACGCCGCTACATCCTCTTCCCCCATAGTGGGCAGAGTCTCTTCAAATACTTTATTTATGTCCAGTGACGGTGATTCTTCTCGCTGTTTTGCATCCTCCAAAGCATTCTCCTGCGCTTTTTCTACCTCTTCACTCCAAGATGTCCGTTGTCGAGACGGGTGAGCATAAGACTGTTCTCGTCCCTCAACTTCCTCGACCTCTTCCGATTGTTGCTGTTGCGATATTTGGAGATTCCCACGACTCTTACCACACTGTGCCGCTATGTGGTCATACGACCCACACAGCCGACACGTACGACGTTGCCCCACATATGTTACATATACTTGAGTTCGAAATGCTTGCAACATAATATAGGACGGTATGGGATGACGTAAGGTAATTTTGACTGAATATGTTCCCTCCAAACTTCCAGCATAAGGTCCAGCGGCCCACCGACCTGCAGAGGCCATATGAACCGTACCATAATTACGTAGTTCATCTTTTATAACAAATTCAGTCACCTCAAAAGGCACATTCCTTATTTTAACCCATGTGTAGTGTTCGTGATACATCATGAAGACGTACTGATACAGCTGAATTGACAGCTATAATGGTCTCTTGATACTTATCCACCACCGCTTCATAGACATTTGCTGACGTCATTTTAACGAAGATCCGTGTCGTCCCATTAAGTGCTACACCACATTTGCGATACTGTAGGTATCACGGATAATCGCCAGTAGTAACAAGTCCATCGTGGCTCCGGTGACAGCCCCACGGGTCAACTCAATGCAAACAGTGTTGATGCGCCTGTAGCTATGCAGCGCCATGTTGGTAAATGAGCAGCGCACGTCCTCACTACTCAAAGGTTGTGACGAACTGAGGTAGCTCGCCTGAAAACAGCAGAGGGGTGCAGAGCACAACCGCACTCTACCGTGGTCAGGCAGCGAATATTCTATCGAGTACACTAGGGTCATTATAACTGATTAATGGGGTTTAAAGTCTGTCGACTTCACCAGGATCATTAAGGTTGGTTAATGCGATATAAAACCTATTTCTACTCTAGCGTCATTGAGGTTAACTTAATGGGGTTTGAAGCCTATCGACTAAACTAGAGTCATTAACATTGGTTAACAGTTTAAAGCTTGTCGATTATACTAGAATCATTAACTCTGGCTAATGGGGTTTAAAGTCTATCGACTACACGATAATCATTAACTCAGTACGTAACTTTTTCACCATCAGATGAGAGAGAGATTTCGTTCGGATTTTTAACCCCGGAGGGTTAGCCACCCAGGATAACCCAAGAAAGTCAGTGCGTCATCGAGGACTGTCTAACTTATTTCCATTGGGGTCCTTAATCTTGTCCCCCAGGATGCGACCCACACCAGTCGACTAACACCCAGGTACCTATTTGCTGCTAGGTGAACAGGACAACAGGTGTAAGGAAACGTGTCAAATGTTTCCACCCGCCGGGAATCGAACCCGGGCCCTCCGTGTGTGAAGCGGGAGCTTAGCCACCAGACCACCGGGTCACATGCCAGACCACCGGGTCACAGATAGGATGTTGACTTCGGTGAACTATCAGTATATTAACTCTATGGCACTTTAGCTATGCTCAAGACATATTCCTTTAAGAAAAACGAAGAGAAGACTGTTCAACTGCCTCCCATCATACCTAAGGGGGATTGCCAATAGACCCCTGACTTCTTCAAGAAGGCACTGGACAGGCACCTAAAGTCAGTACCTGACCAGCCAGGCTGTGGTTCGTACGTCAGCTTGCATGCTACCAGCAGTAACAGCCCTGATCCACCACGAGGCCTGGTCTCAGACCGAGCCGCGGGGGCGCTGACCCCCGAAACTCTCTCCAGGTAGTACAATTATTGAATGTATTAAAATATTCTCCCGTTCACGTTTTCCTTCACAATTCAAAATTTGTGCTGTTTTGCAAATTTTATGCGATTTACATTTTAAATGTAAAAATCCCCTAACGATAAGGAATATATGATAAAGTATATTAAAATGCATCAATAAATAAAGGCGACAAATTATAAAAATAATTTTTTTTTTCGTTGCCATGCTAACTGCGCTACCAGCCGCATGATTATTGTGATAATTACAAAGTAAACTCTCAGGCGCAACTTCCGTTAAAAAATCCATAATAAACATACTTATTGAAATGGTTGTATAACATTATCACAAGCTGTGTGAGCGTAATTATTGAATTCGAGAAAGATAGGAGTATGACACTAGTTCCACCAACTTCTGTACAGGGAGAGAGAAATTTTAGTAAGACTTGAGAGATTGTTGTGTTAAGGTGCGTTTTAGGTATCTCCCACGCAAGTGTTGATTACGGTGTCTTTTGGGTCGTCCACACAGGTGTCTGCTGGGTCGTCCACACAGGTGTTAAGGTGTCTGCTGGGTCGTCCACAGGTGTTAAGGTGTCTGCTGGGTCGTCCACACAGGTGTTAAGGTGTCTGCTGGGTCGTCCACACAGGTGTTAAGGTGTCTGCTGGGTCGTCCACACAGGTGTTAAGGTGTCTGCTGGGTCGTCCACACAGGTGTTAAGGTGTCTGCTGGGTCGTCCACACAGGAGTCTGCTGGGTCGTCCACACAGGTGTCTGCTGGGTCGTCCACACAGGTGTTAAGGTGTCTGCTGGGTCGTCCACACAGGTGTCTGCTGGGTCGTCCACACAGGTGTTAAGGTGTCTGCTGGGTCGTCCACACAGGTGTTAAGGTGTCTGCTGGGTCGTCCACACAGGTGTTAAGGTGTCTGCTGGGTCGTCCACACAGGTGTTAAGGTGTCTGCTGAGTCGTCCACACAGGTGTTAAGGTGTCTGCTGGGTCGTCCACACAGATGTTAAGGTGTCGTCCACGCAAGTTAAGGTGTCTTCTGGGTCGTCCACGCTAGTGTTGCGGTGTCTCTTGGGTCGTCCACGCGAGTGTTATGGTGTCTTCTGGGCCGTCCACGCTAGTGTTACGGTGTCGCTTGGGTCGTCCACGCTAGTGTTGCGGTGTCTCCTGGGTCGTCCACGCGAGTGTTGCGGTGTCTCCTGGATCGTCCACGCGAGTGTTGGGGTGTCTCCTGGGTCGTCCACGCGAGTGTTGGGGTGTCTCCTGGATCGTCCACGCGAGTGTTGGGGTGTCTCCTGGGTCGTCCACGCGAGTGTTGTCTCCTGGGTCGTCCACGCGAGTGTTGTCTCCTGGGTCGTCCACGCGAGTGTTTCCTGGGTCGTCCACGCGTGTTGGGGTGTCTCCTGGGTCGTCCACGCGAGTGTTGGGGTGTCTCCTGGGTCGTCCACGCGAGTGTTGGGGTGTCTCCTGGGTCGTCCACGCGAGTGTTGGGGTGTCTCCTGGGTCGTCCACACGAGTGTTGGGGTGTCTCCTGGGTCGTCCACACGAGTGTTGGGGTGTCTCCTGGGTCGTCCACGCGAGTGTTGGGGTGTCTCCTGGGTCGTCCACGCGTGTTGGGGTGTCTCCTGGGTCCACGCGAGTGTTGGGGTGTCTCCTGGGTCGTCCACGCGAGTGTTGGGGTGTCTCCTGGGTCGTCCACGCGTGTTGGGGTGTCTCCTGGGTCGTCCACGCGTGTTGGGGTGTCTCCTGGGTCGTCCACGCGAGTGTTGGGGTGTCTCCTGGGTCGTCCACGCGAGTGTTGGGGTGTCTCCTGGGTCGTCCACGCGAGTGTTGGGGTGTCTCCTGGGTCGTCCACGCGAGTGTTGGGGTGTCTCCTGGGTCGTCCACGCGAGTGTTGGGGTGTCTCCTGGGTCGTCCACGCGAGTGTTGGGGTGTCTCCTGGGTCGTCCACGCGAGTGTTGGGGTGTCTCCTGGGTCGTCCACGCGAGTGTTGGGGTGTCTCCTGGGTCGTCCACGCAACTCTGGTCTTCAGTTACCACTTCATTATTACTATTCATCATTCTACTCGTAAATACAGTATGTAAAGTTGGTATTATGTATTTAGTAATGTGAATAAACATGGTAATTAATTAGTTGAATTTACTGTGGTGTGAGTGGGAGCTCCTGGGCCCGCTGCCTCGAGTTCTGCTCGTTATTTTTGAAAGTTTTACAACGGTATTTTTTTTTAATCTTTTTACGATTGCAGACCCCACAGTGTATTACCTAATATCCCCATACCCTTTCGCCAGACTGGAAATCACCACTACCTTATTCCTAGTAATGACCCTCGTTTGTAGATAGTCTTAATGACCCTCGTGTAGTAGATAGTCTTTTTAGTATGATAAGATGTTATCTTCATTGTAGAATAATAAGAAAATATAACCTTTTTATTATAATAATAAGGTGAAAGGACCCCAATGGAAATAAGTCACTGTCTGACTTTTTTTTGGGTTATCCTAGGTTCTCTACACATATGCTGCTATGTATGATAATTCTGTGTAACTGTATTTGTGTATACCTGAATAAACTTACTTACCAATACCAGTCAAAAGATGTCAGTAGCTAACAACAGAACAGGTGATAGTGTATTTTAATCTAGCAGCTTTTTTTTTTAATTGAGAGAGCGTCCCATACCCCCAAGGGCATGTATACCCCCATCTAAGCCCCAGGGGGTGGGGGTTAAATTTCTTCCCCTCAACCTAGAGGCAAATGTTTTTCAGTTAACGACTAATTTTCAGTTTTATAATTACCGGTGTCCACAAAAGCACAATAGTTTAGTTTCACATACTACTGAAAATCGTAGGGTTTTAACGACACTTTCTTTTATTTTGTTGAGCATCTTGTTAGTCTCCCAAAATGAAATCCTAGCTCCCCTCCTGAAATAAAATTGTGGCAGCAATACACGTTATTACAAAGTTTCCTCGTTTTTCATCTCTTTGGTTCTACGTGCTTTGTCACAAAGGAAACACTTTCTATATAGAAGAGTAAAGTGTATAATTGACATTAATATGTATAAACTAGAAAGCCCCTTGTTATGTAGCAGGTCTTTTTAAGGATTTTTGGCACTTTTATAAAACAAAAAATGGTTTTCTTATCAGTGCAATTGTAAGGATCACATGGGGCATAATATTAACGACATTTAAAATATTTTAAAATGCATTGAATTAGTGGCATGGACTCGGGTCTTGAGTTGTGAAGTGTGTACAGCACAACGTTTATCACTGAAATTGGTTATAATGATTACACCACTGTTGACATGCCTTCGTTGCAATCATCCCAGCCAGGGATTATTTTAATAATTGGAACATATTAGCATAGGGAAACGGCCGGGGAATGGGAGGTAATCAGGTTTTTATCAAAGGGGGACAGTAGCTCCAAATCCTTGGATCAAGAAATCTTCATGTATCATAACACTTCTATCATTGTGCATTCTCTTGTGTAAAGGAAATAAGTGTACATAATTGTAGATTAATGTGCTATAAAAAAAAACCATACCGCGGGCGGGATAGAACCCGCCCGTGGTATGGTTTGTTTGCAGTCGTGTCATTATGAGTTCGTGAGTCATTATGTGCTATGTTGAGAGGTTTTATAACTTATCTATTATGTACGGAAACAGTTCATTTCTACAGTACTGTTGCTTATCTGACACATGAAGAGAGTTTAGTATAGTTCTTTACCACTTTATCCGTTAATGAGTTACAAAATTTTGTTGCCAATTTTGACTGCATTTGTTGTGGCTATTAAGAATACTGCACCTACAAGTGTTTGAGCGTTTTAACGTCAGATTCTTTCATCGTGCTCTGTACCTCAGAGCTCTGCTCGTTGCTTTCTCGTAAATTTGAAATAAGATATGGATTTATATTTTTGTCATCAAAATATTACTAGTAATACTGAATCTTCCAATCATGATTTTGCTGGAAAATCGACTCATTATTCAGTGACATTAATATAGGAACCGCTTTAATATAACGTGCACGAGGATGTTCATGTAGAATGAAAACAGATTTTCTTAATTACTGTATTAAAATTCATTAAACAAATCGTTGATTTTGCATAAACGCTGATGACTGGTGCTCTGCCTGAATTGCGGCATGTAATTAGAAAACAATAATGTGACCATTTTTTTAAAAGGGATGGGAAACTTAATCTGGGTGCACCAATGGAGTCTTAACCAAGAGCATATAGTCACAGTAAGTCAACTCGTGTTAATCGAAGATAACTGTTTGACATTTCATATATCGAAGACCCATGTCAGGAGAGACTTCGAAAGTATTTTATATGCATTATATATACATTTTAAACATATACATTTTAGTAGATAAGACACATAGGCAACAGTTAGGCAACTTTATTCCGAAACGTTTCGCCTACACAGTAGGCTTCTTCAGTCGAATACAGAAAGTAGGCAGGAACAGTAGAGATGTGAAGACGATGTAATCAGTCCATCGCCCTTGAAGTCGTAGAATTTGAGGTTGTCAGCCCCTCAGCCTGGAGAAGTTCAGTTCCATAGTCAGGAACTAACTGAAGATAAAGCGACAGTGCGGAGACTTAAATTACTGTCGGAAGGAGAGGTGCAGAGTAGTAGTAGTAGTGAGAATGTAGCCACTGAGAGGTCAGGTCCCTCTCAGATCCAACAGTTCTCACTTGAAAGGGTTGTCCAAGATGTTTACTGTACCAAGAGGCCATGTGTTGCAGTGTCTGACAAGATGAACATCAAAATGGTATACAATACCGACTTCAAGGGCGATGGACTGATTACATCGTCTTCACATCTCTACTGTTCCTGCAACTATTGGCATGTGTAGGTACGCTCTGGTCAATTTTACATAGACCAATGCCTTATAGACGCCTAAAACTTAAGAATAGAACTTTTGAGCGTCTTTGAAAGCGCTAGTGTGTTTTGAGATTTGTGATAATTGGAAAATACCTCTTTTGATCAGCATTAAATTTAAATGCTGGTTTTATCTTAGTAGAAAGTTTGAATTGTTTTACGCCTTCTAGGCAAATTTGCCATTTTTTATTGAAACTGGGATAGCAATTTCCATGCGATAATTGGTGAATCTCCTTTCTGATTGGCTTTAAATCTTCAACAATGGTATTTAACTGTATTAGAAACTTATACTGCACTCGGTACTATTCTTTTGCGTGCATTGAGGTTTTAAAGCAGGGTTTAAAGGGATACAAGGATACCTTCCTCGGATCATGCAGCGACCAAAACTGATCTAGTGAAGAATCTGATGCATCTTTTCGGTATTGTATACCATTCATATACCACACATCTAGTGATTTGAGGAAGCCCACATAAAGACAGAAACATTATAGAGAAGTAGTGTATATTTTGATCTCCGTATGAGAGCATCTTCAGCAGTCTTTCTACACTCTCCATGTGGGGTTCCTCAGTTCATCGAAAAGTGTCCACCACAC